AGTGAACTCATTGTCATGTTCAAGAAACCAGACTGAGATGATTTGTGCATTATGACATGGAACGTTCTCCTGCTGGAATATCCATCCATCCATCCATCCATCCATCCATCCATCCATCCATCCATCCATCCATCCATCCATCCATCCATCCATCCATCCATCCATCCATCCATCCATCCATCCACCAACCCACCCACCCATCCATCCATCCATCCATCCATCCACCAACCAACCCATCCATCCATCCATCCATCCATCCATCCATCCATCCATCCATCCATCCATCCATCCATCCATCCATCCATCTATGTCTATCTATCTATCTATCTATCTATCTATCTATCTATCTATCTATCTATCTATCTATCTATCTATCTATCTATCTATCTATCTATCTATCTATCTATCTATCTATCTATCTATGTCTATCTATCTATCTATGTCTGTCTATCTATCTATCTATCTATCTATCTATCTATCTATCTATCTATCTATCTATCTATCTATCTATCTATCTATCTATCTATCTATCTATCTATCTATCTATCTATCTATCCGTCTATCCATCATCCATCCATCCATCCATCCATCCATCCATCCATCCACCAACCAACCAACCCATCCATCCATCCATCCATCCATCCATCCATCCATCCATCCATCCATCCATCCATCCATCCATCCATCCATCCATGTCTATCTATCTATCTATCTATCTATCTATCTATCTATCTATCTATCTATCTATCTATCTATCTATCTATCTATCTATCTATCTATCTATCTATCTATCTATCTATCTATCTATCAATCTATCTATCTATCAGATTTCTATATGTGTTAGTAGAGCAAAATAGTTTTTATAAAAGTTTTTATTAAGTTATTTCTAAGATTAATCATTTGTATTAGATGCTGCTTTGGGGAACAACAACAAAAAGAACACTATACAAAAAGAAAAGTAGACAAACTTTTGGATGCTGCATTTTTGTGGTGTTTAGCAAATGTGTAGCGCAAAGAAACATACATTTTTTAGAAAACATATAGACATATTGAGAGACGCTAAACATAACTGACATATGATGCGGAGCTGACAAATAAACAGTGAAAACAATGTACTTTTTGCCTTAAACCCTTCTTTAATATAGCGCTATATATGCATATGCCACAGCGCACACCGGCGAAGCTGTCAGCTGTTGTGGGAAGTGAAGGGATGCTGTCGAAACACCCTTCCATCAAACAGGCCTTCAGTGGGCGAATGTCCGTTCCCCTACGACCTGTTTCTGAATGAACGAGGAGGACGAGAAGCAAACAGCTGCTTAGAGTAACAGCTTTTCTCATGAATGATGCATGCGTCTGTCCTCCTGAATCACCGCAGAGAAGTAGGTCAGTGTTTCTCTGAGGTTTCCGCTTCACACGCTGTTACTAAACAGCAGCTGAACATCACGCTTGCCCACAGCGCAGTAGATTACTTGTGAATAATAAGTTACTCACAACATGTTACATGATAATATTTCTTTGTCAGTTATTGAATATTCAGTTAAACTCTTAATTATTTGCCCTCCTGTGATTTTTCCCCCCAAAAGATGTTTAACAGAGCCAGGAGTTTTTCCTCAGTATTTCCCATAATATTTTTTCTTCTGGAGAAAGTCCTATTTGTTTTATTTCGGCTAGAATAAAAGCAGTTTTTAAATTTTTAAACACCATTTTAAGGTCAATATTATTAGCTCCCTTAAGCAATTTGATTTTTAATTGTCTACAGAACAAACCACTGATATATAATGGCTTGCCTAATTACCCTAATCTGCCTAATTAATTAGTTAAATGTCTTTAAATGTCACTGTAGGCGGAATACTAGTATCTTGAAAAATATCTAGTCAAATATTATGTGCTGCCATCAGGGCAAAGATAAGAAATCAGTTATTAGAAATGCATTATTAAAACTATTATGATTAGAGCTTTTGGATTACTTTTGGATTACATTTGGATTACTTTTGGGTAATCTTCTATTGGAGAACTGTAGGAAAATTATTATTTTTGCTTCTTTTTTTGACAGATACAACAAAAAAGTCTAAAATGCAGACTTAATATACCGAGCTGTCAGTGTTTGCTGATAGTAACACTGAATAAAACAAAATTGTGTCTTATGATTTTAAAACGCTCACTTAAAATTAAGCAAATTTAGAAAACTGTAATTCATTCAGTCATTTTTTTTTTGGCTGAGTGCCTTATTCATCAGGGGTCGCCACAGCGGAATGAACCGCCAACTTATCAAGCATATGCTTATCAAGCGGATGCCCTTCCAGCTGCAATCCAGTAGTAGGAAACACCCATACACTACGGCCAATTCCCTTATAGCGCATGTGTTTGGACTGTGGGGGAAACCGAAGCACCCTGAGGAAACCAACATCAACACGGGGAGAACATGCAAACTCCACACATTTTTTCTTCTGGAGAAAGTCATATTTGTTTTATTTCGGCTAGAATAAAAGCAGTTTTTAAAATTTTTGAAATCATTTTAAGGTCAATATTATTAGCTCCCTTAAGCAATTTTATTTTTAATTGTCTACAGAACAAACCACTGATATACAATGGCTTGCCTAATTACCCTAATCTGCCTAATTAACCTAGTTAAATGTCTTTAAATGTCACTGTAGGCTGAATACTAGTATCTTGAAAAAATATCTAGCCAAATATTATGTGCTGCCATCAGGGCAAAGATAAGAAATCAGTTATTAGAAATGCATTATTAAAACTATTATGATTAGAGCTTTTGGATTACTTTTGGATTACATTTGGATAACTTTTGGGTAATCTTATATTAGAGAAATGTAGGAAAATTATTATTTTTGCTTCTTTTTTTGACAGATACAACAAAAAAGTCTAAAATGCACACTTAATATACCGAGCTGTCAGTGTTTGCTGATAGTAACACTGAATAAAACAAAATTGTGTCTTATGATTTTAAAACGCTCACTTAAAATTAAGCAAATTTGGAAAACTGCAATTCATCAGTCATTTTCTTTTGGCTGAGTGCCTTATTCATCAGGGGTCGCCACAGCGGAATGAACCGCCAACTTATCCAGTATATTTTTTACGCAGCGGATGCCCTTCCAGCTGCAACCCAGTAATAGGAAACACCCATACACTACGGCCAATTCCCCTATAGCGCATGTGTTTGGACTGTGGGGGAAACCGGAGCATCCTGAGGAAACCAACATCAACACGGGGAGAACATGCAAACTCCACACTAAAACGACAACTGGTCCTTGAACCAGCGACCTTCTTGCAGTGAGGTGACAGCGATAACCACTGAGCCACAGTGTCATGCTGCTAAAGTAAACATATATTAAAATATTCATTCATTTACAGCTTAGTCACTTATATTAAAATATCATTAGAAGAAATTATTATTCATTTGCTTTTCTTCGATTGGCCACAGAACAAATTCCTTTTTTCCAATGACTTGCCTAATTAACCTAATTAACCCCAGGGGATTTGAATGGCAATTTAAGCTGAATACTAGTATCTTGCAAAATAACTAGTGAAATATTATGGTAAAGTCAAAAAAGACATGAGTTATCTTAAATTAAACTCCAAAAACTCCCACAGCGAATATCCAGGCGACATTATGATGAGTTTCAGAGCTGATCACCACCGTCCTGTGCTTGTATTAGCACTCCAGATTCAGCCTTCCTTTCTGAATTTTCATTTTTCTCATTTCCCCAAGAGATCGCTTTCAAACGCACACTTCACAGAGATTGCGATTAGATTCAAATTCTGCTAAAAGGGACGGTTCACCTAAAAACGCCAGCCATTAGTAATTCACCTGCCATTCCAAATGTTTTATTACTTCACAAAGAAGAAGTTAATTTCAAACTCCAGTGTGCTTATTTTCATATCAGGCTCCTCATGCTCCAAAAGATGTAATGTAAATGTAATGTAATGTAATGTGTATTTATATAGCGCATTTATTGTGTATGGCCGTACACCCAAAGCGCTTCACAATCATGAGGGGGGTCTCTCCACACCAGTGTGCAGCATCCACTTGGATGATGCGACGGCAGCCACAGGACAACGGCGCCAGCTCGCTCACCACATACCAGCTATTGGTGGAGTGGAAAGACAGTGATAGAGCCAATTCGGTGGAAGGGGATGATTGGGAGGCCATGATCGTATGGGCCGATAGAGGGACTTTGGCCAGAACACCGGGGTTACACTCCTGCTCTTTCACGAGAAGTGCCATGGGATTTAATGACCACAGAGAGTCAGGACCTCGGTTCAACGTCTCATCCGAAAGACGGCACCCACTGGCAGTGTAGTGTCCCCTTCACTTTTACTGGGGCATTAGGACTCACATAGACCTCAGGTTGAGCGCCCCCTGCTGGCCTCACTAACACCATTTCCAACAGCAACCTAGTGTTCCCTAGTGGTCTCCCATGGCTCTACTGACCAGGCTCAGCCCTGCTTAGCTTCAGTGAGTAAACGGTCTTGGGCTGCAGGGTGATATGGCTGTGGCAATGACGAATGAAACGACGAAAAACATTTGTTGATTTTACTTGAGTATAGATTTTGGATACTCTACCCACCTCTGCAAACCGTACTGTACCAGTCAGTGGAAACGGGCCATAAAGGGTTAATGGTGCCAACAGATGATCAATAGTAAAAATGACGATTTGGACCTCTTCCCAAGAGGGAAAACCAGCAACAATCAAGAACCCATGATTATATGTTGTCATGGCTTTGCGATCAAAAAATATAATTATAATGGAAGTCAATCGGAAAAAAACAGCCCCGAATATAACAAGAGTAGTCAAGATGTTGATACACAAGGGTTAAAAAACTCCAACAATGTAAAAGTCCTCTGAAAACACACATGATAACATCTCGCACCACACACAGGTCTTCGTTTTTACCTTTTGCATCCAGGTCTGAAAAGTCACGCAGGGATGTAAACGCTGTGAAAGAGTCTTCTTGGCAGATGCAGGCCGTTGGGGAAAGAGCAGCAGGCAAGATCTTAAAAGGAAGGTGTGGCTGTTCTACAAATCTGACTAACAGTCGCAAATTCCCTTTAAATCCAGTCTGCTGGGAAATCGAGCCTGTTGATTGGCTAGATGAATGACACGCACTAATGATTGACCATTAAAGGGCAATTGATGACCTCAATACAAAGCCAATGTCTGTTCTGTGTGTGTGTATTGCAGATTTAAGAGATTGACTTAACAATATATCAGATATAATAACATAATCCCCATATCAACTACAGGAGGCACTTTAGTGCTCATGAGTTTTACACTTCAGAGTGTGCTGGGCATGAACACTAGGGTTTAAATAATAATACGGTTTAATAACAGTATGTAAAGCACTGGAAAACTTTATAGGGATCATTTGGCATTACAGTTTATGAACTGTCTGCTAGTATACTGTATGTAATGTTGGTCAAACTTTAAAGTAAGAATTGCATGTGGTGTATTAATGTTGTATTAATGTGTTAATTACACTTTGACTTGTTTAATCTAGTGGTTACAGAAGTAAAACCTCCACATGGATATTTATTTAGTAACTTATAAACCAGTAAAGCCAGATCTGTTGTGAGTGCCAAGGATATTAAATAGTAGATACTTATTTTGCTGAAGTCAAAATAAAAATTTCAAAATAATGGAGTAACAAATTTAATTTAATTTAATTTAATTTAGTTTAATTTAATTTAAATTAATTTAATTTGAATTCAATAAAATTAAACATATAAATCAATTGTTAAAAAAACAATAATTTGATTTCATTTAAATAAAATAAAATAAAAAGAAATTAAAATGAAGTTAAATTAAATATATAACTGCTATCAAAAAGCTATAAATTATATTTATTTAAATTAAACTAAAATTAATTTAATTAAATAAATAACTACATTATTTTAAAAATACAATAAATTTAATTATTTAAAATTAATTCCATTTAAATGAACTTTAATTTAATGTAATTAAAATGAATTTAATTTAATCTGAATCCTTAACAAATTCTACAAATTTATTAAAAGTGTTAAGTAAACCTTTTAGATTTTTTATCATATGTATTATTTATTGATGATCTTGTCTTTTTTGTCATCATTAATATTTTTTTTATAAAAAACTGATATTTATAAAATGTTGTAAATTTGATCTGATTTTGCTATGAAATAGCCAAAAAAGCTGGTATGGCAATAAACTCTTTCTCTCTCAATTAAGTCAACACTTAGGTTAAATATGTTTTGGAGTTTACATATGCGCATATTCTCCTATCAAATAAGTTATTTGTTTTAAAGATCAAAATTTTTGTGTGGAAAGTGGCGTATGCACGTTGTTTGCCGCTGTTTAGTACTTACGCTTATGAATGTTTATAAATGAGACCCCAGTTGTGGCATTTGTGCTCATAAACTCACATTAACAATGGCCTCTTTGGTCTGCGACATATCTGAGATGACCCCGTCTGTGATGATGAGGAGAATGAAATACTGCGAGCCGTCCTGTACAGCAGCTGCGTACCTTCACAGAACAGAAAAAAATTAAAAATCACATCAACTCTTTACACTCGAAACCAACTCAGGCTCATTCAAAAAATGTACCCCTATATACATTATTGGAGAGCGCCAAATACATCCCAGGAGCTATGTTTTTTTTTGTTTTTTGCAGTTTTTGTTTTCGCGAATCCACCAGAGACCACTGTGTACGCTTTTTCAGATCTCAAATTTCTCTAGCGACTGACTGACTGACTAATTCACCGACCGAACCCCGCACCCACCCTCTTCCCTAAACCCAACCAATAGTGTTTTCAAAAGCAATCTAGAAAAAGATATGCAAAATTATTTACTTCATCTTAAGTTATTATTTCATCTTGCTACATGTTTGCTAACATTGTAGGTCAACAAAATGCAGAATTTTTCTTCATTTCATAATTAATTAACTTATTAATATAAAAAAAACAAAATGCACACACAAAAACTGAATTATCATTTATTTATTAAGAAATTATTTCTTCAAAAATATATAAATATATATAAATATTTATTCATTCATTCTCCTTAGGATTAGTCCCTTTATTCATCATTTATCTCATCCCATTCCCCTATAGCGCATGTGTTTGGACGGTGGGGGAAAATGGAGCACCCAGAGGAAACCCACGCCAACACGAGGAGAACATGCAAACTCTGGGACATAAACCAGCTGGAACTCAAACCAGCAACATTCTTGCTGTGAGGTGACAATGCTAACCACTGAGCAAGCAAGCCCTCATATATAAATATTTAATTTTACATATAAATATACATGTTAGACCTCCCGTGTCCTTTAGCTGGTGTTCTAACGTTTCCAACCCGTGAATGTAAGCCGCGTTCTGCTTTGCCTTGCAGCTCTGATCCGCAGCCCGAGGAGGTGTGTATCACGCTTCAATTTGGAAAGCCTAATTCAAATCTGCGTTTTTAATTACCACAGCGGATGCAGTGTAATCAGATGGAAAATGATTTGGTTGTGTGACATGCGGGGAGGGGGTGGAGATGTCTTCAGACAATTACTCTGTCGTCTTTTTCTGGAAACACACCCACTGTCCTTTCAAATGACGATTAAAAACACAGCCGGCGTCAGGACTGAGTCAGTCTGTTATGACACCTATGCTGGGAGCTTTACAATGGCATAACACGTTTACTACATGTCAGCAACTTTCTTTTGTCAGTTATCGAGCGAACACAAGCAGTTTATGGGATCAAACCCAAGAGTTTGGCTTTTCATGAACAGATGCAACTCTTTTTGATGGAGCATCATAACCTTAAGCCAAAGAAATTATGGTAACACTTTACTTCAAGAGGGTGTTTATAAAGCTATAATGACAACCTTTATAAACGTGACATGAGAAGTCATGACGGAGATTTTAGGCATGCTTATGATGAATCTCACTAAAGGTCTCATAAAATGAAAGTTTTTTTTTTTTTAGATGCTATCAATATTGTTAGTTTTTAATATATCTATAAGCTACACTGTAAAAAAAACATTATTTTACATGTAATTGTCTGTATTTTTTTATACAGAATTTTCCAGTTTTTTCATTATACGGTGAAATACCTGTTGTTTTACAGATTTGTTCTGTAATAAAAAATTCTAACATTAACAGTTATTGATTGCATTTTGTTATTACGTTATTTTTCTGCTTTTTAAAGGAAATTTCATATATTTTTAAAGAGTAACACGTAATTTTACGGTAATATTTACAGATTATTCCTGTAAAAATAGGGGGAAAAATTCAGTCAAATAGTTTTTAGTGAAGATAGTAAATATTTGAAGATTAACATGAGGTAAATAAAGTGAAATATTAGCCTATTGTTTGTAGGCTGCATGTAATGCGTGCACTGTAAACTATGAAATGTTTATTTTACTACTCTAACAATGTTGCTATGCAAACTGTGACGATCACCAGTGATCTAGCGGCTGCGGATCGCTGGAAAACTACTAAACATTAATCCTATAATAAATATAGGAGCTGGTTAAAAATGCTTATTTGAAATAAAAAAATGTAGTGACTTGAGCATTTTAAATGCTTTAATCACCCATTCATTCATTTTCTTTCGGCCTAGTCCTTATTTATCAAAGGTCACCACAGTAGATTGCATCGGCAACTATTCCAGCATATGTTTTGCACAGTGGATGCCCTTCCAGCTGCAACGCAGTACTGGGAAACACCAATACACACTCACATTCACCCACACACTTATACACTACAGCCAATTTAGTTTATCCAATTCTAGTTCATGGACTGTGGAGGAAACCGGAGATCCCAGAGGAAACCCACGCCGACACGGAGAGAACATGCAAACTCCACACAGAAATGCCAACTCGCCCAGCTAGAACTCGAACCAGCGACCTGCTTGCTGTGAGGTGACAGTACTAACCACTGAGCCACCGCGACCCCCTGTTTTTTTTATCACTGATTATCATTAATCTGACATCAAACCAATTATATCTTATTTTTAAGTTGGCATAATAGCCCAACTAAACAGTTTGTGTTGACTTTAAAACAGACGTTTGGAAAAACGTACCTGGCCACGTGATTTACAACAGGGGCAAAGTTAGTCGGGCCGTATAGCTGGACAGTTTTCAGACTCTGATGATACGCCTCAAGTATCCCCTCGATACCATTACAGTAGGGATTCTCAATATTTCCATTCTGAAAGACAGAGATCAGTGGATCATATTTGCATCTTCATTTAAACCAACAGAAAAACAACCCAGAGAAAAAGAAAACATGGATTATGTCAATCAATACGACAAGCTAACGTTGCCAATTATAGACGTCTCCCATACAGTGGGATCGAACCACTTCCAGATCATCAACAGAATCTCACGCTCAAGTTTACAACTGGGAAAGTAAAACCGAAGGACAGCGAGATGCTTGCATCAGCAAACTCTTTGAGGCTGCTTTCACACCTGTAGATCAATTGATTTGTTTCCGAAAAACTGGTACGATGTTTTCACACGACAAAGTTTTTTAAAGGACCAAAAGTAAAACAAGTCGTGTACGAGTCAACTCTCCACACATTGGTCAGAGTTTGGTTTATTTTCCGAGATTCTGCTCAGCGGTCACACGTTGTTTTTTTAATTGATAACAATAACAATGGACCTTTTGATAATAATAACCTTTATTTAACCAGGTAAGTCAATTGAGAACCAGTTCTCATTTACAATGACGACCTGGCCAAGAGGCAACATGAAAAGCAGATGCAGTACAACGCACTAGGGACACAATACAATAACAACACAAATGCAGATAATAGCATATAAAACCAAAAAAAAAAAAAAAGCTAAAAACAAGCGCAGTGATCTTAAACTATTGACTGAATAGAATTTTTAAAAGATGATAGCGGAATGAAAGTGCTGAGCTTTAAGGTCTGCTGCAGATGATTCCAAGCATCAGCAGCAGAAAACGGAAAAGAGTAGCGACCAAATGAAGTGCAGACTTTGGGTATGCAAAGGTTAATGAAGTTACTAGAGCGCAGATTTCGGCATGTTTCATGAATGTTAAGAAGTGACTGTAAATATTGTGGAGTTTTTCTAATAAGAGTTTTG